GGCTCAGGGAAGCGCTTCTCGTCCATGTGGATGGACCAGACGTTGTTGACAACACCAGCGTTCTTGGGGATGAGGTAGCCGTTGTAGTAGTCGTCGTTGGTGACAGCGTGGGGGACAGCGCCCATGATGGTGGTGGGCATCCAGCGGAGCGACTCCTTCATGATGCAGCGGATGTAGTGCAGATTCTCCCAGTCGTCCATGGTGGGCAGACGGTCGGGGCCGACGTGGCGGTCAACCTCCTCCTTGGCCTTGCGCTGGACCTCGGGGTAGAGAAGCATGGCCTGGACGAAAGCGTAGAGAGTGCTGGAGGTGGTGTCGGAGCCGGCCTCGAGAAGGGTGCCAGTGATGTACGAAGCCTGAGCATCATCGAAACCCTCAGCCTTCTGGACAGCAACGAGTTCCTCGGAGAAGCAGCGAGTGATGGTGCCGTCGAGAGTGTCCTGCTTGGCCTTGAGCCAGTGGTCAAGGTACAACTTCTTCTCCTTGCGGTGAAGTTCACGGGCCTTGCGGACGGCGGGCAACAGGAACTCGGGAAGCTTGCGCAGCAGGGGGAAGAAGTCGACAAGAGCAGCAATACCGGTCTGGTTGAGGTCGGCAAACTCGCTGAAGCCATCGAACAGCTGCATCATCTTAGGGTCGTCATACGTGTCGGAGCGCCAGCCAAAGACCATGGTAGTGGTCAGGGCGTTGGAGTAGCGACGGATGTTGTACAGGAAGCGCTCGGGCTGCGTGATCATCTCGTACATCATCTGCTTGTTCTCGAGCATCTGGTACGGGACGTAGGACTTGGCGGCCGAGATGTTGAGCAGGGCATGCACCAGCTTGCGGCACGAGCGCCACCTGGGGCCGTAGCCCATCATGAGAATGCGGAGGTCGCCACTGCACAGAGTCTGTCCGATATACATCTCCTGACGGTGGGAGTACATGTTGCTCTTCTTATCGAGAAGGTCCTTGACTGCCTGGTCGCTCGATAGCACGACCATGGTCTTGGTGCCGAGGATCAAGCTGTAGACCGGGCCATACTCGCGCGCCCACTTCTCAAACTGGAGATGGGCATCACGCGTGGGCATCTAAGACAGGGCGTGTTAGTGATGCGCCGTAGCGAAGGGCGGGTGGGTAGTGGCAGTGCACGTACCTGGTGAAGGTTGCCAATGATGGGGAGCGTGGGTGGGCCTGGCGGGTAGTTCTTGGGCCGTCTTCCCGTCATGAGAAGACGGATGAAGATGGCCGCTGCCACCACGAAGGGCAGGTATGTGACGAGAACCGCCATCTGAGGGACCCCACAAGTAACCGAGACAAGAAGGCAAATTGGACGACGGGCAGGGGCGCGAATGAATGAATGGGCTGATGGTCGAATCGGTCGGGTCGAGAGAGGGCGCGAGCAGAGGGATAAAGTAGGAAAAACGCATCAACGCTGATTTGCCGTGTTTCGCTGGCGTTGGGGTTGTCCTCGGCCTTGTGGCTATTGCAAAACCCTTGCTTCGGAGTCGATGTGGGAGGGGCACAAGGCCGGCGCTGCGCACAAGATCGGACGCGGGGGCGGGAGGGCTGGCTGCGGGGACGCTCGGCGCGGAGTTGATGTGGGAATGCGGGGCCGGAAGCGTCGAGGTATCATGGGTTGTGGGGAGACACCCAGCAAACCAAAACACGCAAGTTTCGAAGCAGCCTGGGAATCCCGCTCTCCAATTTCTCAGCTGATGCCGTCGGCGCCCTCGCTTTGTTGGTCCCCGCGCCTTAATCCCGGAGACCCCATTAGGAGGTCGCACCCCGCGATCCCGGAGCCACGGCAGGACGCCGCAACTGACTCGTCCGTCAATCCACGTTGAACTTTTGGAAATTTGTGATCAAGTCGTTGACTTGGCGCATGCTCGTCTGATCATACTTGTCTAGGATGGGCTCGATTGATCGCCCTGGCCCTCGGCCGCCTACTGTCATGCTGTTGGTTGCCGCTCGGCTTAATGACGCTTTGTCCTGGGACAACCCTGCGCTGGCGGACGGCGCAGCAATGCGGTCGGTGAGGAGGGTGCCAAGAAGCCAGTATTCTGGAGAGAATCGAATGAAGCCCACTCGCTTCCACAGCGTCTTGGGGGGCAGGCACGCCTCCCCGCCAGTGCCGTAGGGAAAGGATGCCGCCCACGAATCAAAGTACCATTCCCAGACTCCAATCCAGTTTCTCAGGCCCCGTCTGATTGGAACGAGTTGGCCGTCGACTCCAAACGAATTTTGGTGTTGGAATATCATGGCGTGGAAAGCTGCACAGTCAGCCAGGAACGCGTCAATGGGATAGAGATCTTACCAGAGACAATCGCGAACAAGTTGAGCGGACCCAACTGTGACAATTCTCGTTGTTCCTCCACGGCCAGCTCATTCATGCACATGTTTTCAATCGCGTCTCGTAGTGTGGTGCCAAATAAGGGACTGGTAGGCGACATGCTGCTGTGAAGTTGCTGGATGCATTCTTCTGCCGTCAGTGCTTGGAAGCAGGCCTCCGGGCTTGCTAAATGCATCCGCATTTCCTTGATGACCATCCTGTGTGGGAGATTGTTGAAGATGACAAAGGCGGTGTCGAGTAAGAAGATCCATAAGAATGTTCTGAATTTGTCAGTTTGGACCTTAGCGGCATCGGCTTAGGGAACTCACCGTATCAGCTCTTCTCTGACGACATACTCACTCCATACGAAATCATGTTTGGACTGAAGGCTGTAGTCGAGATGCCTTGCATTCTCTATCCCAATGTCCCTTGCCACCTGGTCATTGTCAACACTGAAATCCCCTTATGGACACATAGGAGACCCACTGAAACCACGGTGCCAAAGCGATGGCGTCGTATCCGTCGCTTGCTGGCATCGGTCCCCTCCCAGTTCTGGGCCAGGCACACTATGTACGAAGCTTGAAGCGCCTGGAGCTTGCGCCAACTGGAGAGGACGCTCTGAGGGGAGGTCTCTCCTGTCAGCTCGACATCGCTGCAGAAATCGTCATCTGTGAAGACCATCTCCTCAACGCAGTTGAACCAAATCCGAGCGTCCTCATTGTCTTGCGGGTCTGGCGAGACACAAGCGCCTGGGGCAGTCAGCATGGTGGCCGCGGTGTTCTATAGCCACGCAGAGACCGGCGTTTGCGGGCCGAGGCTTTGTATGGGAGCGGCTTGCCAGAACCGAAAAAGGGGTGTGCGAAAAGGGGGCTCAAAAAGAATGACTTACCAATAAGCGCCATGGCTGCGAGGAGAATAGACTTGGAGTTTGCCTGGTCAAAAGACGGCCGATGCACAATGTTGACATTCGGATTCCACACCGACCAGTACAGCTCGATGAACTTGGCAAATCGATACGGCGTAAAGAACTCGATGCATTTCTGTTCCAACTCGGGTGACCAAGTTAGTGTGACAATGCTGTTTTTCGGTTTGACAGTGACGACGTCTTTGACGAGGAGGACAATCCGTTGGAGTTTGATGATAATGGGATTCTGAAGCCAACACGACCACGGCACCGGGCCATGGCCGGGCACGATGCTAGCAGCCCCGGCAAAGCCGGATGGCGGTGAGATGCTGCTACCTGTTGGAAAGACGGGTGGTACCGGCACTAGAGGTTCGAGCTGTTGATGCTGGAGGTATGCATGATCAAAGTTGGCGACAATTTGCTGTCTCTGCTCCAACGTCGCACACTCAAACGAGGAAACCAGCCCCGTTCTACTCGTGAAGTCGTAGAGAAAGTTAAAAGAGTAGCCCCGTGACTCGGACGCTGTCGAGGTTGTGTCTTGCCGATCCTGGACGGGGAGCTCGGGGTCCGGAGTAAAGTCGAGGCCGAACCAGGGGTCGCCGGACACACCGGACACACCTGATACACTCTGATCGTCGATGAGAGGATACTGAGAGACGGCGTCGTGAACGACAACATCCAGTTCGTGAAATGGGACGTCTTCAAAGGGGTAAGGGTGGGTGGGGGGTTTGATAATGGCATCGCTGGGGGCGGGGCCCGGAGCGAGAGCGGGGGCGGGGCTTGCCGCCGGCGTTTGGCTTTGGCCGCTGAGATTTGAGTATTGGCATGAGACGGCGCGCTTCTCGCAGTTTTGGCACGGCTGGAGCGAGTTGCACCCCTTCTTCTGGCGGACGCAGCGATCGCAGGAGCGGCGACGACCCGAGAACTGGCTCGACGTGCCGTCACATGTTTGCAGGTGGCGTTTGAGGACGTCGGTTCGCTGAAATGACGCGCTGCAGAGAATGCACCTGTGCGGCCGCTCCGAGTTGTGTGATGCCCGGTGTCGCTGAAGATGCTCCCGGCGCTTGTAGCCTTTGAAGCAGATCGGGCATCGGTGGAGTCCTTGGGCGTCAGCCATGGCGACCACAGTCCATGGCGGCATCTCACTTTCTCGTGTGATGTTTGCAAGATTTTAGTTGCCGGTGCGTCATGAAAATTGCGGGGTGTGGGGTTGGAACTTGGAACCCCAGCAGCCGAAAGCTTCGCTGCACCTTATCCACCTCGCCCCCGTGACAAAAGCAACCGTTAGCCGTTTTCTGGAGATACGATGGTACGTTTGCGGGGTAAGGTTGCACTCACAATGCCAGAATTGCAGCCCAAGGTTGATGGCAGCGAGAGTACTCGGGGTTCTCCTCTTGGTTTGAGAGGATTGGGTTGCTGCCGCCGATGGGCGGCTACGTCATCAAAAAGGGGGAAGCGATCCCGTCATGTGGTGCGCCGCACCATAAGGGATGCGGGAACCTGGAAAACTCGATGTCGAGACTCCACAAGGGAAACACTTTTTGGCGAAAGAACGAGTCGCATACGAATCAGCCGTTTCATTTCTCAACGTTCTAGAAGCCGGTGGTCTGGCACACTAAAAGGTAAAAGCGAGAAGGTTTGTTGAGCCGAGAGAGATCCCCTTCCTCCCTCCCTATCGAAGGGTCAAAGTAAACAAACAATGCATTAGGGGCTGGTCTCCGCGTTGGGAAGAGTTCAAGATGACTCCACTTGGCTCACTGCCAAGATGCAAAAATCAAAATGGTTTGCCCCCTGCCTGGATCGAACAAGCGACCTCAGCATCGCACATGATAAGATACGAGTGCTGCGCTCTACCAGCTGAGCTAAACGGGCAATCTGGTGAATTTGATGACAATCCATCCCAATGCAGGCCTCATGAGCACAGGAATGATGATGCCAACCTGACCCTGAGACCCTCCAGACGAGATGTTTTGACACCATCCAATGCCACCACACGCCGACTAGTAGAGAAGGCCAAAGGTATATCGCCAGGCGCTGATTGGGTTGTAGTGCACATGTGTTTGTTACCTTCAATGTTTGAATGAGTGAGGTTAGATGGATCAGGGGAACATGACGCCGGTTGAGAAATTGTCATAGTTGTCACACGAATTCCCAACCCAACTGTTATAGGTCATACCTAGTGCCATGAGGCGTGTGCGGAAGTGACCATGCAGCCACACGACTAAGGTGTGATTGATGCAAGACATGCATCTTGGATGGTGGATAAAAAAGAGAATAGATCGGGGATCTGCCGGGCAAGTAAAGCAGCTTAAAATATTCTTCTCTTTTCCAGTTCAAAGATCAACAGGATTTGATAGGGTATGATATACTGGGGCTGTTGAGGGGGCCGTACCATTGGGGATCACTTTTCTCTAGCTTCGGGAAACGATCAGGGTTGAGACTCCCGGTTCAGGAGGAACTCAATTTAAAAAAAAAAAAAGACAAATACTTATCTGTTGAGGCGAGTCCTCGCTTCTTTGGAAGTTGAAACTAGGCCGGTACTGTGACGTACTAGGAGGCGAGTCTGGAAACACAAAACTGCTCTTTCGTTCTAGTCCTGCGTATACTGAAACAAATTATTACCTCCCCCCCCTTATCCTTGCACTTCCTCGCCAAACATCCTGGTAACCTTTTACAGCGTGTTCTTTCCGCGCGCCTTTAACTTATATATGTTGTGACCGCGCCACGTATCTTTCTGCAGATCCTCAAACTCGGTTTCCCGGCCCAGGCAGGGGGAAGAGTCGCCGCCATGATTGTTTTGCGGCTGGTAGGAGGAGTCGTTTCGAAGCCTCCAGATCAGTGATTCGTGCAGTGTGGCGTCAGCCGGGATATCGCGTGGACTCCCCCCGTTCAGGGGTAACGGGCCCACCAACTCCCAATCTCTTCCGTTGAGCTCCCAGCGCTTGATGAAGGGGAACCATTCTGTAGGAGGAGAAAGAGTTAATCATCACAATATTTCTGGGGAGAAGAAGGGCTTCACACCGAGAATATTCCAGCCGATCACCTTGGGTGCCTTCGTGCCACAGCCAAATCGCAACGAGTCGTGCATGGCGCCCTGAAGGGCCTGATGCTTGTGTTTGTGCAGTCGCGCCCAGAACTTGTCGACAAGCGCCTTGCGCCACACGATGCCCGTCTGCAACTGCTCAAGCTCGTTTATCATCCACGCGAGTGGGATATCGCTCATCTGCAACGGGCCGGAGTCAATGTCCTTTGCCTCATTGGTGGGGCCGGAACTCGGAGACCAGCCCCCGCCGACGTCACCGTGGCATCCGGGGAACCAGACCTCCTTGATGTCCTCCTCCTCGACGTGTGGGTTCTTGGCCGAGGCTCGAATGTCCTGTGCGAGCAGTGCGGGCTTGAACTTGACACGGCGCTCATCCACCGCGACGGCGTGGCGTACGTACTTAGCAGTGCCGATGATGGCGGTCGGTCGTGGCGCTACCCTGTCCAGCACAGCCACCGAGTTGACGCAGTCCCACATGCCGAGGAAGAACACTTTGATGTTGTCCTCCTCGGCCTTTCCGGTCTCGCTGTTGACCACCTGCTCCTTGCGGCAGAACGTGTTGCTGAACATAGTGATCTCGTCGTTTGCGCCGCCGTGCGCCACAGGGTCGTGAGTTGGATCGTAGATGGTGCCGCTGCGATCACCGCCCTGGCTGTCGAACTGCTGAATCTGACCGGCGAGGTAACGCTGGTACAGACGGTAGGCAAAGGGCACCATCTCTTCGTTGCCCTTGCACAAGAGTCCGACGGTGTGGATCATGCGCGCGAGGAATTTGGCCGTGAAGGCGCCGCGACTGAACCCGAACATGTAGATCTTATCGCCTGACTCGTAGTATCGCATCAGAAATCGGTAGCCGGCCATGACGTGAGCATCAAAACCGGTGCCGAAGCCCATGTCCAAGGTCTGTGCGATTTTGGCCCGGAAGGAGGCGATCGGCGCCTTGTCGACGGTCGCCGAGCTCACATCGTAAGTGCCAATACCCGTCTGGTAGTAGTGGAACTGGCGAGGGTCGTTTCGCTCGAGCTTATGGAGCAGCTTCACAACATTTGTGTCGCCATTGGAACCGCTGAAGGCGTTGCCGGTGCCGTCGAAGCAAAGGATGAGGTTCCTAGAGCTCCCCGGCTCGCTTCCGGGAGGCTGCAAAGAGGGGGAGGATGGTGGGGATCCCGTTGAGCTGGGGTTCGGTGAAGTTAGGGGTGACTGCGACATCTTTGAGGCGGTGGCAGTGGGTGCGTACTGAGTTCGCGGGGGAAGAGAGGGAACTCGTCTGACTGGGCGCCCGGTGAGTATGAGGGACTCTTATACAGCGATTCGACCCTCCTGCCGCCCGTGTGCGACCAGGCCTCGGCGACACCGCAGTGTGATTGAACTCTGCATCCTGTCCGCTGACTGCAACAGCCGACAGAGGCAGTGCTGGCTGATTGCTGTCAGTGTTTCTGACAATTGCATGTCATGTCCAGAGAGAAGCGATTTTGTGGTGCCGATTCGACAAGTTGCACTCCTCTGCGTCTGCATCCCGCCCTCAGCCAGCCACAGAACCCTTCAAGCCATCAGCAACGCACACCACATGCACTGCTCACGTATTGCCTACTCATTGCCGGGCGCGGCCGGTCTAGACCCCGCACCCTCTGCCGAGACACCACCAATCATCATCGGCCCGTCGCTTCAGGCAGCCACCCTTCGGGGTGGATGGGCGGGGTCGGTCATTGTATCGGAGCATCTGTCCCGGGTGTTGCGCACATATCATTGGAGAGCCTTGTATGTGGCTGCTGCAGTACTGCGGGGATGGCGCTGTCGTCGGTGACTGCAAGACGTGGGGGGAGCATGGGGTAAACTTGGAAACTCGGGAAAGCTTGAGTTGACGATGGCTCCCTGGGTGTGCGGTCAAGCCACGGGCAAATCAAAGGGGACATTTGGGTCTTTCTGGGGACGCACCGAGTTTCCCTGCGGCAAAGGTCACATAGGGCCCATTTCTCGCCAGCAGCATCAACGAATCAAATGGTCGGATGGTGTAGTTGGTTATCACGTCAGTCTAACACACTGAAGGTCCCCAGTTCAAACCTGGGTTCGATCACTTTTTTTGCAGGTTGGTTTTTATTCTCTTCCCTTCCGCCACCCCTCGCATTTCCAAGAGCGATTCTTCTTTTCGCGGGGGCCATGCCATTAGTGTCCTTCGTGCACACTTCAGTATCACCAACAAGGAGTTGTCCAAATAATACCCTTGTGGAACAGCTCAGAGACGTTCTCCCTCAATTAGCGCGGTGGTGCTGTGATACTATGTCTGTATGGTGGTCCTCGGCGGCTTTGTGCGGCACAATATGCGCGAGAGGCATTTAGGGGGTGCTGGCAAACTACCCCTTCCTAAAAAGGGGCCTCTGAGGTTGTGCAGCAGCGGTGTATGGCAGCAGCGGTGTATGGGATTACCCTAGCTCAGGGAAAAATCAGGAAAAGCTCAGAACAAATTAGCCACAGCTCACCTTAATCATCGAGTATCGTGTTGCGCAGGGACGGGGCGCTGTCATTGCCAGGATGTACTGCATGTCTTCTCCATGTCTTCTCAACATACCACGGCCAGCTTTACTTGCTATCTGACCAGGGGTTTCCTGTCCACTGTGAGAGAGCCAGGCGTCTGCTGGGAAACAGGACATTCAAGGTCCCGGCAAAAGTCTGTCCCAGGCATTAGCTTTAGTCCCATGTTTCTATTCAAAGCTGGGAGGCCCATTCACTGGCGTGAACAAGCCGGTCAAAGACTGCATTCTGAAAGGTATTTATTGCTCCTCCTTTTCAGTTTCTTCTCCTCTCCCCGACAACAAGGATTCACACAAGTTCCTAGTTGCAAGGTATGTACCCGGTGACCAACACCCAATCGTCCTCTCAGTTCCTCCTTCATCGCTTCCTTCATGGCTCCATTCACTGATCTTTTTTTCTACTAAAAGCTTTCAACGATGGCGTCTAGGCAAGAAGTTTCAGCTCTTCTGTCCTCAGAGACTCGCGTTGCAACTCCTGCGGTATCCCCGACCATCCCAACAGTTTCCCCGGCTATCAATCCCACTCCAGATGACACCACACCCGCCGCAGAACCGTCCCAAGATCCTACCGACGACTCAACTCCGGACGACCCCATTCTCAATACTACCACCACTCATACAACCACAGGTGATCCCAAGGGACCATCTCAGCTTCCCCAGATAACCAACCCAGCTCTGGTCCATCTCACTCTCACTGCCACCACCACTTATACGACCGCGGCTGTCACCAACAGCCACACGGCCGCCTCTGCTGCTCTCGCACCACCCCAGCAGGCCCCGAAAACCAGCGCGGTTTCCTGTCCCGTTACCCCCAACCGCGGCCGCGCCCAAAAGTGGACGGTATACGAGGAAGCAATCTTGGTCCATCACATGCAAGCCGGCATGACGTACGCGGATATCTGCGAGGTGAGATCTCATCAAAATGCCTTTGATATCCTGTACCGACTGACTTCTTCACAGAACCACCTCCCGAACCGAACGGCGCATGCCTGCGAGTCGCATGTCTACAACATGAGGCGCAAGGGTAAGTTGGGCCCTGCTCCGCCGAGATAGGGCACTAAAAGGAGCTGTTTTTTGTTCCTCTGCGATTTTTCCGGCCGTGTTTGGGAAGGAATCATTTGGTTTGGGTTGGGATGGTCAAGATACAGCCTGGCTTTCTGTCGCACAGGGCTGAAAGTGGATCGGAGCATGATGAAGGCGGCCATGGAGTGGCTTTCGGAGGTATGATACGAGGGGTCAGGCAGCTGGTTGAAGGTATGCTGTCCTGCACTTACATTGCTGTCCAGGCTAACCCGTGGAGC